CTCATGCCAATGGGGTAAAACATCTTTTTGGCCTCATACGTTCGATTGGGAAGAACATTATCCTCTGGTAGCATATCTTTCATAAGGGCTAATAACTCTGTGAAACTTTTATCCGACCATCCATTGACGGCTTTTAAGTTGTACAACTTTAACACCGCAGACAATCTTGTGAATTTTGTACAACCATTATACAACGGTTTCTCTGCATCGCTTACCAACCTCTCGAACATTTTGGGACAATCGTTAAGATCTTCTTCAAGCGCTTCTGCAATTTCTTCGACTCGATCATAATCGTATGTATCTGTGCAATCATCATTTGAAACATAGGTCCTTGCATACCCCGATTCAACATTCCCGTTACTTTTCTCACCATGCATATTCCAACATGCATAACTCCTATCAATTCCATACCGAATTAAATGCGATGCCAACTGAACTGCGTCAACCCGGTTCCCATAACAGCAATACAAACAGGGACATGTCATACGACTGGGGTCTTTGGCGTGCGCAACAGCAAACTTAATAAACTCGGAAACACCATTCTCGTAGTCTTTCGACAATCGATTGGAATACATCCATGTCTTATCCATATCAACTAATTAGTGCACAAAACAGTAGTATACTGCGTTTCTGTCAAAACGCAAAGTATACACGGAATGAATCCGTATCAAGAAAATGCAACATACGAAAGACAATTTAAGACAAATTCATCACAATATATACCAGTAATTTGAGGAAGAAAGTTACCTCTCAGATGTTTCGAACTCTAAGAAACGCGGAGAATGAGCGTCGTACGTCGAACTAGGCCGGGAAACGCTGCAATTTCATAGAATGTTATTCAATATTTCGGATCGATTGTCGAAAGATATATACTATTTTAACATAAAGGTTCACAATAAATGTCACATATATATTTTCAATGTTTGGGAAAGCTATGACAATAATACAACACAAATATTAGAAATAGTGAATTCACAAAGTCAACATAAACCCACAAATATAATCCAAAACATAAACCATTTCAATGTTACCACCAAAATTATGTAGCATGCACCCGGAGAAATAAAACATAAGAAACACATAAGAATCCAAACATATACTAACATCATTATCTATCCCTAGAAATACTAATTAGTTTAAATTTTTAACAAAAGAGTTACTAATTAGTTACTTGTAATTTTGTTCCATTGTTTTGCATGAAAAAGAGACAAAATTGGAGAAGGAAAGAATCAAAGGTTACGTTCACTTGACGCATAGATCAGTAAAAGAGATTAAGTATGAAGCTGATTTTGAAGTACCAGCATAGATCAGCTTCTTAATGTCAATGTATTTGCTTTCTAACAGCGGAAACTAAATACAATTTGGTATTTTCTAAGCCCATTTGCTAAGTAGAGATAAGTTGAAAGATTTACAATGTCGAATCCTTAAGCCACCTTTCAATTTCTGTTTACAAATAGTATCCCATGAAATCTAATTAATCCTTCTTTTATTTTCATCACCAACCCAATGAAAAATGTGTTTAATCTTAATAATTTGGTTCATGATAAATTTTGGCGCTTTGAAAAAAGAAAAGTAATATAGAGGTATCGAATTCATAACTAAATTCAGCATGGTCACCCTTCCTCCAAATGATATATGTTTCCCTTTCCAAATGGCAATACGGTTATGAATCTTATGTCAGTAGAGGATTCCATGAGCAACATCTACGAGGGTTTACACAGATAAGAAGACCAAGATGAACAACAGATAATGGAAGAAGATAATGGAAGAAGAAGAAACTTACCAAGATGGACAAGATGAACAAATAACGGCGGCGACGACTGAAGAAGACGGAACGAACGGCGGCGACGACTGAAGAAGACGGAACGAACGGGGGCGACGACTGAAGAAGACGGAAAAAATGAAGAAGACGAAGAAATGAACAAGTGAGGGAAAATATCAGATTTAGGGATTTTTAATTTAATTATAAAACAACCTACGAAAGCGCTTTTAAAAGCGCTTTCTAAGACCCATATATGAGAGCGCTTCTGAGGTAAAAAGCGCTTTCGTATGCCCCCCATATAAGAGCGCTTTAGAAAGCGCTTTCGTAGGTCCCCCTTTCAGAGCGCTTTTCAAAAGCGCTTTTATAGGGCCACCTATAAGAGCGCTTTTCAAAAGCGCTTTCGTAGGTTAGATATTTCAAATACCTATGAAAGCGCTTTCTGAAAAGCGCTTTCGTAGGAAACCCTATAAAAGCGCTTTTTTTAAGTGAATTTTTTTTAAAGGCTACGAAAGCGCTTTCTCTTAAAAGCGCTTTCGTAGATGCGCTGCCAAAAATTGTTTTTTTCGTAGTGAATAAAGGGACATTCAATGTTTAAAAACATTAATCAAGTGTTTAGAGACATTCATGTCAAATTTTTAGGGGCTTTAATAAGCCAACATCAATGAAGCATCGATCAGGGAGTCAACTGATGTGGCAGTCATGGTTTAGAAGAATTACAATAGCATATCCACAAGATTGGGATCACCTAGAGACATGTTCAAAATATCGAAAAGGGAAGTCGATATAACTCTTCCGTCGACATGGATATCAGTCGAAAAAGCCACAAAGAGGTTAGATACTTAGTAATTCTCCAAGTTCAAATTTCCAAGAAAAGACAGTATCGAAAATACGTTAGCATATATTATCAAGATTTCAGGGGAAAGTTTGAAGTAGTTATTTCAACATAGGCTGTAAATAGGAAATCGTGATCGGGGTGACACGTAGACACACTAGTGAAAAACTAAAAATTAAAAGTGGGTTGAAACATGGCATCTTGTTAGTGGTCATAACCGTCGTCAACGATTACTTGTAAATAGAATAAATAGCAGTCTCATACATTGTAATAAATATCGCAAAATTTCATACATTCTCTCCATACAACTGGAGTACCCGAGTCAAAGAGTGAAACAGTTAGTGAGAAACATATATGTGTTTGTGTATAGTCTTTTCATCGTTTTCTTGTTTTAAATGAAACATTTACTTTTTCTATCTTTTGTCTTTATATTTGTTTAATGTAATTAATTACACTTTATCTTTTTGTCATTTATCAAAGTTTGTCTTCATTTAAACTCTTTCTTTGCGTCATCTTCGTACGAACGATTACAATCAATTCAGACGCACATGTTTTCATACAAATTATTTGCACAAATTGCTTTGGAGATTTTCCGGGTTAATCTCATTAGCTTTATTAAACTCGTGATTGTTTACCAAAAACACTGGTAAATAAGTGACACACCTCAACTGGTCCTCGTTGACACCATATCTCTACTATTGATGTGTTGCCTTGATGCTGTCGTATCATAGAGATTAGATAGACAAGTAAAGACGGAGGATTCTTTTTGGATGACTCCACTACAACAAATAATACATTTCATGACGAAATATTTCACCTCACCCAATAAAAATTTGAAGTGTAAACCATAGGCGTGTCACATATATTTTTATAAAAAATAATATATATTCCCTCGATTTTGCTGAAAACCGAAGGAAAATGTATTTAGAGGACGCGTCTTCGAATCCCAACAACTACACTTTATCACACTTTAATTTTTTTAAATTTTTAACTGGACTTTACCCCTCGATTTTTATAAAAAACCGAGATAAAAAGTAGCGCAGTTCTGAAAATAAAAATAATTCAGTTGCTTGGGGTCGAACCCATGACCAATATTACCTTGTAATTTTTTTTAATTTTTTTAATAACCTATTACCTCGGTTTGCAAAAAATCGAGGAGTAAAGTTGCATATTTTATATTTTTTATTTTTATATTTATGATCAATTTGATGAAAAAATTAAGTAACGAATTTTTACCGTCCATTTATAAAGTAACAATGGTCAAAACATTGTTAACTCATCAATCCACATAAAACATTAGTGATCTGTGTGAAACTCTCACTAGCCAATCAAAACATGAATGTCATAACTATTAATCTTGGATGCAAAATGCTGAAATTTAAACTTAACATATTGAAAACAATAATAATGAAAGCAAGAGCATGAAAATATTTCAAAGTTAGTTTCTTAATGTAATATTTTGTCTAGTAATTCCTTGTCAAAATTGTTTAATGTTAGTTATAGTTGTATCTATTAGAGATAAAATGATTGTTTTGTTTTTAGCTTATTGTGGTGTCACTCTTTGATTAGAGAAGTCTGAGACTTATCTGTAAGAGTATCAAGTAAAATATTTAATATTATTGTTGTTGTAGAAATTTAGTGTTTAACGATTATATTGATTTTGTTTATTCGTCGTTGTTATTGATGCTGTTGAGATTTAATGTTTAAAGATTTCATAGATTTTGTTGTTATTGTTGATGATGATGAAAAAATGTAGTTGTTAGGGATCGAACTCGTATCACTTTTCCCCTCGATTTTTAAATCACCGAAGTGATAAGTGACAATTTTTATATTATATCATTTTTATATTATTCTAAAAGTGAGTGATTTAATTTATACAAAATTGAAAATGATATATAACTACTATTTCGTAATAAATGATCAAATTCATTATATCATCTCTAAATTATTGCTAAAAATTATTATAGGTTATATTGGGTGTGACTATAAAGATGTATCTCTGAAACAATTTATATAAAAAATCTGAAACAATTTATATAAAAAAGAAGTGTTTCCCTGAGGCAAACTTTCAAGAAATATGAGAAGAAGAAGAAAATCTAAAATGAAACCATGACTACATAAATAACCATGTGATAGCCAACACAATCACATAGAAATATCTGAATAATAGCCACCAGAATCACTTACATGTGTAATAGCCACTTACAAGTTTCTAAAGTGACATGAGTAATAGCCATTACTCAGAACTTACATGTGTAATGACATGTTCTTGTTTTTCACCATAGAAAGGTTGTGGACTACTTTGTTGTAAATGGACGTGGATAAACACCCGCTAACACAATTGTGCAATAACTTCGATCTGGAGGCAATTGTTAGTGTCAATGGTATAGAAACAAATACAATGGATTAACGCCGAGAACCCATCATCATAACTCGAAATTCTTCCAAATCAATCCTGCCATCACCATTACTGTCAAGACCACCAATCATTTTTCTACATTCGGCCAACGAGCTATCCTCGCCAAGGCTTTTCATCATCGTTTCGAGCTCCTCTGCAGTGATGAAACCATCCTCATCAACGTCAAAAACAGAAAACGCATCCCGGAGGTTATCTACTTCCTCATCAGAATCAACATTTGTGATGCTTAGGTCAATAAACTCTTGAAGCGTAATAGATTCTCCATCATCGAACTCGCGAATCATGGTTTTATTCTCTTCGTCTGTTGCCGGTTGACCAAGTTTTTCCATTACCGATCTCAGATCTGAAATCGAGATTTTTCCATCACAGTTGGTATCCAATTTGTTGAAGACTTTTTCCATCTCCGATTCAACACCCTTACAATTTCCATCTCCATTATGACTCATTTTCTTCAAAACATCTTCCGCACTCGTCTGGGAGCGCGGAATAAGTGCATCAACAACATCGTTGCTGTCAGCAGCAACTATATCCCTAGTAATCTCTCTTTGGAATCGATAATTAGATACGACAACAACTATAATGACAATGAGCCACAAAGCAAAAGTGATGATAGCAATGTTTGGTGAAATAAGTTGCAAAGCTAAACATGAAGCAACAGATCCAAGTAAGAGTAAGAGCGAGATTGGAATGAAGCGTTTAGGAGTAATAGGCTGTTTTAAAAGAGTGTGAAGAATCCAAACTAAGAAATATACTATAACTGTGGAGATGAAATAGGCCGTATAGTGTTGTTTGGAAAGCTTCTCACCAGTTTCTGTGTAGTTCAGTGCTACCAACGCGGCCAGAATGGTAAACAATTTATATAAGATGTTGGCCAAGTCTTTGAACAGTCCTTCATCGCTTTTGGTCCTTTTTTAAATGAAACAAAACCAAGTGTTAACTTGTTTGAACTTTCAAGGATATAACGCCAAAGAAAAAACATAGTAGGGAAGCGGGTACTCACCTTGATTCCTGATTATCGGTGTAGGAACTGGAATCCATTAGAACTCTTTTGTTTTTTCGTTTTATCTAAAGGTAAGAATCTTATACAACCCTAAGTCAAAGTATCGCCACATGAATTAAGCCGTCAACATAATTTAATATATATAGTGCGTATATTGTGTTCTTTTAGGAGTTTAAAAGAAAGTTCGAGGAAAAGTAAAAGAAATGGGATGACATTTTTGGATAGTTTTAGGAGTTTAAAAGAAAGTTCTAAGAAAAGTTTAAAATAAGACAATTTCTTAAATCAACTTTTATATATATACAGAATCCAAAATATATTTCTGAAATTTATGCAGACAATATTACTGATTAATTTTAGAATGATTCTCATATCAAATAATATTAGAACATATTTTAAGATTTAACTATAAAAATGATATGAATAAAACAACATATATAAAGTTATAAGTCAAGATTATACAAATTCAATTCAAAAGTTACATTGAAGTCGATAAATAAATAGAATCTAAAATGTACCAAGAGTACAAATAAAATAATCTACTGCGTATGACGAACTATGAGCCGACATCGCCCTTGTCTCCCCACGTTTCTGAGATGCCTCTTGTACTGCAAAGCCTCTTAAGCCTCCGCCATCATGGCATCTACAACACCACTCGTCTCAGAATCATACAGAAAGAGTCCTCCATCAATATCCGCCGACCCAATCTCCATGATACAACAACATCTATGTAAGACATCATGAGCATGATCTGTCATAGTCTGCTCATCCTCTAATATCTCTTGATGAGTTGGCCTAGGTGGATCTCCTAGAGCATCATTTACCATATAAGGATGTGACACCCAGAAGAACCACCAGATGTAACCGTCTACGTAGCACCAGTTATTCGGTGCTATGGTACTTCGTGCCTCATCTAGTACCAAATGATTAACATAATCATCAAACATGGCATTCATATCTCTATGTTTCACAGTGGGAGGAGCATACACAAAAGGATCTTTGGGAATGTACTGCATATAGTCGAACTGATGCATGACACACTCAGGCAAATGAGGAGCCGTCAGACATAATCCCAAGTCAATCATCCAGAGTATAAGACAATGTCATAAAAGGGAGTCGTCTCATGGTGATCGATGTATGTATGTATATCCTCAAAGATCAATAAGTCAATATACACCTTGAACGGTTCAGTCGTTTGGTTCCCTTTGAGCGAGGCAAATGTAGAAGCACACGACTTATGTAGAACCTTATTTTGTAGGTAATAGGTTTTCTTTCGATAATGACAACTGTGAAGAACATAATAGATATTCAACATGATAAATATGCAACATGATGACAACTGTAAAAAATCATTTTAGACTAGAGATTTCACACAAAAGAGGGGGTAAGTTATGTGGTTTGGAAAAACTTTTTAAATTTAAAATTGGAGTTTAAAAATGTTTTCTAAAACCTAAGATCTATCAGAGTTTGAGAAAGATTTTTCTATAACTTAGCAGCGGAATATAAAAATATTTTAAAAGTAAAATGCAGAAAGTAAAAAATTTAAGGGAAAAGAAGAATACCACAATGTATAGAGGTTTAGTAAAAAATAAAAGACATACTTATCTTTCCAAGAACTGGTCTTGAGAGTTTCCATTATATACTTGAGAATTTTTAGTAGGTGAAGCTCACGAACCCCCTTATACAAGGAAATGATGGTTGTCCTACAACCATGATAATACACCACAGAAGATATAAGCATTTGAGTCTTCTCCATTGTTGAGATTGAAGTGACCAAGCTTCCTTCCTAGCTATAGATTGAAGTGATTAAGTTTCTCTCCACGAAATATCTAAGCTCAATATGGTTTAACAGGATAATCATTAACCTCTTGAGATTTTAACAGACTGATCTTCTAACCTATGGTTTTATACGGGCTAACCATGAACCTAATGGTAAGTTCATCAATATTGAAGAACTTCATCCTTCAAATGAATAAGGCTTTATAATAGCCTTAAGGGAAGTTCAACCATATTAAAGATCTCCAACCTAACTAAATATCAGGAATTGATCATACAATCCTCAACTAAAGCTTTAAATGAGTTTAGCTTCAAACCTCATATTTTTATCCCTAAATGGACTGTGTTCATCTAAGATGCATAAAAAACATTCTTGAATAACTTTTACAATGCTACTCATCTAGAATTACAATAACATGTCACCCACAAAAGACATTTCCTCATAAAAGCATTTGGCTATAAGAACTCGTGAGAGAAAATGAAAACGAAAACTTAGAGTGAGAGAGAGAGAGAGAGAGAGATAGAGAGAGAGAGAGTGTGTGTGTGTGTGTGTGTGTGTGTGTGTGTGTGTGTGAGTCAATGCATATTTCGTATTTTGGATAAGTTGAACGGAGGAATGAGACCTCTATTTATAGGATTCAAATCCTCCAAAAGAGGAAACATCATTAAATAAAAAATGACAATTACCAATCAATTAACCCAATCTATTAAATCATTTAAATGTAATGGCTATGATTTCTAAAATAAGTAAAAATTGATATATAGCCGTTGCTAATCATTTGGGTACATTCAAACTTCCTTTATCTTCAAAAGTGTTGTCAGCCTAATTGATTGACACTTTGTTCTAATCAATTAGATTCAGTCAAAATATTTTTTTTGGCTTTTTGAATGTTCCCATCACTTTCTAAGCAACTTCTATGTATTACTTCAAAGAGTTTTCTTTTCATTGGTTGACTTTCTTAATGGTTGCATCTTTATTATGCTGAATGTCATCTTTTCAGATCTTTCTAATATTGTCATCATTTTACATATTTATTATGTTGATTATGTAGTTTGTTTTTTTCTTCACAGTTGTCATCATCAAAAGAAGACATGTTACCTACAAAATAAGGTTCCACATTCTCCCCTTTTTTGATGATGATGATACAACTCTCAGTGGAGGTGTTAAAAGAAATAAAACAATATATATTTTAGGGTGATAACACTCCCTCTGAGTTAGGTAGAGTGTGTTGTACCCCAAAATTTTCCTCCCATATTTCTCAACACTTTTTAAGTGAGATCCTCAAATTGCTCAAGGAAGTCCAAGAGTTGACCAGACAAACTCCTTCCTAAGGCAGTCTACCTCAAATTAGGGTTTCATGTTGCATTAAGATACTTGAGTACAAAGGATCCCAAATTATCACCATTGTCCTAATATGTTCTCAAGATCATCCATGTCAAGTTTCAAGCCCTACAGAGAAAGTTTGCTCAGTCAATTGCTCAAAGGCCTGAAAATCGACTGTGCTAGGGCAAAAGTCAAATGTGTCCTACATACAGTCAAACTTCAAGATTTTTGGTCAACATCCTAATTTTGAAGTATTATTCATCATTTGATCAAGGATTGATCATGATTCCCCAAGGATTTCTCACAATTCATCAAAACCTAAAAGTTGCTAAATTAGGGTTTTGTAGGAAAAGTCAACTCAACTTTGACCAAGCATAACTTTCTCATACTTTATCAAGAATTACCCATCCAAAGCTCATTTTTAAGAGGATGTGATTCCATACAATTCATCTTCATCTCCCAAGTTCAAAACATGCACTCACAAAAAGATATAAATTTGGACATTATAGGTCATTTTGAAAAGTCAACAAAAACACCTTTTTGCCAAAGCTTCATACATGAACATGGAAGACTCAATTGAGATGAGACAAAAAGGTTTGCTTATAGGACATCTTAAGATTTCTAAAAAGTCCAAGAACACATCTCTAGGGTCAAAATTGAAGGAGTTATGCATTGGTGAAGTTGACCTTTTTTGCAAAATTGCCAAAAGTCAAAAGTGGCCAAAATTGCAAATTTTGCCAAATGGGCCCAACTTTTTGTGTTTGTATTGAGTTGATAACATGATCCAAGACCCATGACCCTTCCCACTTGTCTTTATTTTATTTTTGTCATTTATTTTGATTTTTATTTCAATTAATTTAATTTAAATCAAAATAAAATCATGAAAATATCAAAACTAATCAAGGCTTGAGATTTTGTGTAATGTTTAGGTCTCTTATACAGCTGGGAAGAGAATCAAATCGTGCAAGGCTTTTTTGGACAGAAAAAGATTGAATTTTTCTTGTTTTGGAAAGATTTGATGCAAGGGTGAATCAATAATCAAATCTTCATAATTGCAAGGATTTGATGCAAACTTGTAACCCTAATGCACTCTGTGATATATATTGAATAAATCCAAAGCAAAATAACAAGGATTGGAGGCGTGAGAAGCTTAAAGAAATCTTGCAAAAACTCAACAAAAGTGGTGAATCAAATTCCAATTTCCAGGCTTCTTCAAGCCATTCCAAGCATACCATTCGCTTGCTCGACATCTAAGGATTCTATCCCAATCATCAGCAAGCATTTTCGTGCCCAAATATGCACTGTAAGTCTCCCACGAACTCCATGTTTTCTTGAAATCGAATCTCATAAATCTGGCATGGTTAGCATGATTTGTTTATATATTCTGAATCCTAGGAACATTTGCAAGCTAATGGTACCATTCAATTGCATTTTTATTAACTGAAGAGCAAGATGCCATAGTTAGGGTTCTTGGCTCGTTTTTGGGGTTTTTTATTGCAGGAACAATTGGCCATGGAAAGTGGTACTATGATGCTCGTGAGGTTGCCACGAGTTGATTGGTACCATTATTGGGCATTTATCTGGTTCGTATGAGATTTTGGAGAAACACGGGCTTATACCTACGCCCAAAAAACTGTAGGTAAAAGTTTGGACTTTTGCCAACGGAGGGAGGAAGAAGAAAGGTGGCGTGGCAGGCAGTGATTCGTCTATTCAAAAATTCACGCATTTTAATGAATTAATTTGCTTTTCCAATATAATATTTGATTGTTATCCCATATACAAACATGCACGCTAGCTCAGTTGGTCAGGAGGCGCTTGGAAAAGCCAAATGGCCTGGGTTCGAACCCCAGGTCCCCCATATTATTTCATGATTTTATTTCTTGCATGATCAGGCACATGTGAAGGCAAGGAGACCACCATACTCCATCATCCTTCAACCAT